CTCAAAAAATCCTTCACAAAAAATGGGCTAGTAGAGTGGCTCAAGGTGTAGGCCCTGAGTTTAAGTCCCAGAAAGTACCACAAAAAAAAAAAAAAAAGAAGAAGAAAGAAAGAGTAATGTTCCAGCTACACAGAAGGCAAGGACAGAGAATCATGCATTGGAGGCCAGTCCAAGCACAGCTACCAGATTCTACCTAAGAAACAAAATACAAGCCAAAGGCCTAAGGGCATGGTTCAAGTTGCCTAGCGTGCAAGATGCACTGGGTTCAATACTAGTTCTGTGATAATAACAATAATAATAAGAAGAAAGAGTAATGAAAAATGTCAACTTATTCCTTATCCTGAAGTGATAAGAAACATTTGCATGGATGTAGTACAGAGACTGCGATGGGTTATTATTACTACAAATTGTTGTTAGGAGCCTTGCACATGCTAGGCAAGCACACAACCACCAAGCTGTGCTCAGACAACTATTACTAAGAAGGAGCTTCACATCTTTCATGTGGACTAGGGAAGAAAAACACTGAAAAACTCTAATTCTAGAGTAAAATGAAAAATAATAGCTATTATTTAATAAGCAGCTATTCAGGAACTGTGTTATGATATTATTCAATGTATTACAACAACCCAATAAAGCAGTATTTTTTCCTTATGCTGTTGATACTTTAAAAGTTTATGCAACTTGGAAAGTCACATAACCAATTCATAGCAAAGTGTTTGCTTATTTGAACCATAATCTTTACTCATGATTAGCAAATCCAACTAGACACATTAATTTCAAAAGTGGAAGATCAGTACACACTATCCAGCAGTCCAACTACTTCCATATTTGAGTTACAGACAGGAAAGTTTTTAAAAAATTAAGACTAAAAATATCCTGATATCTCTAGACTTTTTGAAGGCAAGGATTACATCATTTGCTTTTCTATCTGCAGTGATTAAAACACTAAACTATGCTCATTACAGATAAGCTTAACAATAAAAGGGAAAAAATGAATCAATGAATGAAAAAGTATGCTACCCTGCTACAATCAGATAAAACCATAAAGCATGTATTCTTTATACCAGGTTAGATGACTGACAGCCTTCCAGAGGAACTAACCACATTATTTATCAGCTAACAGTCATTACATTATTATCAATTTTACATCTTTCATACCAAATTTTGATCCAGCTCTTTATCTCAGATCTTTTAGTAAAACAGAGAAAAGCTAATTAGTAACTCTGTGTAGTACTTCATTGCTGAAAAGATGCTTGATGGTCAGCTCAACTGTAGGTAAGTAATTGCAGTTTTTAGAAATGTTGGTTTTTTGTTTGCTTGTTGGTTTGTCTGTGTGTTTGTTTTTCTGTGCTGGGGAAGTATGTGATCTACCACTGAGCTACATTCCTATCTTGGTTCATCTATTTATTAATAAACTTAAATATCTTAGAATTTTTAGCCTTTTGAATCCATCTTTAAAACCCATATGTCCCTGTAAGTTAGAAAATCTAAAATTGAACTTAGTAATTTCATGCAATAATTAGTTTAGCAGCAGTTGATGCAAGGAAAACATAGATGGCTAAGTCAAGTATTTAGATGCTGTTTTAATATGCATAAGCCCTGACTACGGGTATTTTCTAAATTTATTATTGGTTTTTCTCGTCATTTTGGAACCATGGATTCTTAAAAGGTCCAAGGATACTGAAAATTGCAAAGAAATCTGCAAAACAAGATTTGAAGTAGATTCAGTATCAACATTTGTTATGATATAGTTCAGAAGCAGAAATAAGCAATTTTTTTAGTATATTTTTGTTTAATTGACACTAGTAATTGTACATATTTATGGGGCATGATGTGACATTTCAGTACCTGTATCCCAAATGTATGGGATAATAAGCAATTTTTTGATCCACAGGTGAAATCTAGCTCACTTCCTTCTTATATTTATATAAATAGTTACATTTTAGTTATACAGATGTCTACCTAATATTCTCAGTTTTAGCTTAGCTCACAAGCACTTAAAACATTTATTATCTGGTACTTTAAGAGAAGTTTGCTATTTCTTGGTCTAGGCAATTTTTCTTTTACTTTTTTAAAAAGAGGAATTTAAAGCTCTTGTGAAAAGGTTATATTTTGGTAAGAATAAAAGTGGATATTGAATTTACAATAGAGCATTTCAGTTCTTATCCACTAAAAATTTTCTGTCTGGAATCTGTTACTCAGGATTTTATTTGTCATTAAATATTTGACATCCTTTCTCATGAAGGATGGATGGCCATTTCCTACTAAACCAAGAAGTATTATTTAACATTTTATAAATATTCATTTATAGTTCTTCACAAGCCAAAAAAGATAAAGTCTGGTACTTTTTGAGGCACAGATAAATGTTTTCTCATATATTCAATTTCTCATAAAGTAATTAAAACTGAAAGTGTCTTGGACCAATAACTGGAGTAATCTTCCTTGGAGTGAAGGGTGGAGTGGGGAGGAGGGTTCCGAATCCTAGCAGTAGCATTTCCCTTGCCCAGGCAGTGAGCATCTCTGCTCTAGACAGCAAATGATGTCTCAAAGAGCATGTAGGAATCTCTCAGTGGTGCTGGGTTAGAGACCACCCAGCAGCTTCAATACTTCCAATGTAGAAAGCAGAACCATATTCTCCAGTTCAGATTCTGAACTGCACCAAAGTAATTTGATTCCCTAAAGAGACAATCAAAATCAATACCAGAAGGGCAGCACTATTTCCACTAGTATTTTCTTTATACAGGCATAATCCTTGAGGACATTTTATAAGAAAAATACCTAACAAAATTTGCTTCATTTTTTACCAAAACAAAATGTTTTGGATGATTAGAATTATTATCACTTTAACAGTTTAAGAATATTTTTCAAAGCTACTGAAAGGTAGAGTTAGAAGATACTGATATTGAACTAAAAAATTGATACATAATTAAAATAGAATCTTATAATATTCTTAGTGTGATTTGGCAGTTAAGTTTCATCAATGAAATTTGTGTATTTTCAGACTTTTACCTCTTTTGAGGAAAATATGGCCAATATAAACACATTTCTTGTTTATTTTATTTTAAGAGGTATCAGGGTTTGAACTCAGAGCCTAACGCTTGGCACTCTTACTGCTTGAGCCACTCTGCCAACCCTTTTTTTTTATAATGGATTCTTTCAAGATAGTGTTTGGAGAACTATTTTCTAGGATTGGCTTCCAACTGCTATGCTCCTGCTCTTTGTTTTCTGAGTAACTAGGCTTACAGGTCTGAGACATGGGTGCCAGCAATAATTTTATTTTTTAAAGAAATTTTTCCTACATCTCTCTATGAAGTACAACTTTTCACCTTTGTACTTATCAGTTATATAAATATCTAATGGGTATGGCATGCATTCTAAGTTTGGCTAAAATACTCTTAAGTAGTAATAGTCATCTTTTATTATGGTCTTGAAATTCTAAGCATATTCATTGTTATAGTACATCCACCAGGAAAATTTGGGAATTCTGGTTTACAAATGAGAAAACATCACATAGGGCGTGCTTTCACAAATTCACAAAGAAAGTGGCTTAAAAATAATCCTATACTTATGTTAATACTGTTTAAAACCTTGTTCGTGGTGCTTGCTTTCTCTACCAAGCAAGATTAGAATTATGAAGGTATTAATAAGGTGAAAAGAAAATTCCAATCTCAAAGTAACCTTGAATGCCTGTACTCTCATTTGACAGAACCATTTAACTGCCAAATCTCGCCTTCTCTGTATAGCCTATACATGTGTTCTACAGATAATGTAAGTGACCTTACAGAAGATAAAGAAATGTTCAATGATACAGACCCAGAGGAAAGAGTAACTGCATTCTAGTGCTTAATTTATAACCCCTGTCATTTCCATGGAAACCGGTAATTATAAGAAATCTCTAGTGCTACTGCATAACAAAGGCCTGTTAAAACTGATTGCTAATAGTGTGCTTAAGAAAAAACAGCAGCAAGGAATCCTCATGTAACTTGAGATAACAAAATGAAATTAGTGAGCACAAGAAATCAGAGTAAGTAATCAAAATATGTTCCACGTCCACCCAAGGAAACCCTTCCCTCCTCCTCCACTCTAAGATGGAAATCCCTAAATATTCTTCTGGGATGGCTGATGGTGATCAGCTATACAAGTTAAATGCAAATTTCAACAGCGTGACAGGAGAGATGATTTTGTTAGACTGAAAGGGTCAAGTGTTCATAGAGATGATGACTGTTCTCTACAACTGATTTTAATTCTCAGGGTGTGGTGTTTCTGTTCCCATCAGAGTGCTGGGCTCAAAGAGATAAACTGACACCAGGTTCTTAGGACCTTCAATAGAAAACAAATTCTCCCCCTCACCCCCCTCTCTCTCACTCACACACACACACACACACACACACACACACACACACACACTCACAGAGGGAATTTGAGAAAACATTCTAATTTCACTTTATTTCAGAATGAATAAATATACCTGATGACTTGCTCAAGAAATTGTCTATGATTGTATTTCAGTATATAAAAAAGGCATGGCCTCTTCACGTCTGCAAGGGGTGTCTATCATAAAGCAGCCCCGTCTTCCGTTTGTCTGGAAGGCCTCTGGTAGGTAGCAAGAACCTTGCAGCTGCCTGCGTAATCCCTGAGGATCCCCTCCGCGTGGGAGCTGACAGTCTGCGGAGCCTGGGAGCCACCGAGGCTCTGGCAGAGGGTTCCCACGCTCTGGCCGGGTCGCGAGGCCGCAGTGACCCCAAGGGGCTGGGTTCTGCCGCTCTCACCCTCGCAGCCCCGCCCAGGCTGCCCCTCCTCTCCGGGTCCCGGCTCTGGAGCGTGGGAGCGCTGCTGAAACCGGAGCCGCGGGCGGAGGCACCTCGGAGGATGCGCACCCGAGACCCTCGCAAAAAGCAGTGGGTATAGCAAGGCGCGTGGAAAACGCCCGGGGCCGACTCCCGGGGGTCCCCACACAGGGGTCCAGCGCGCAGCCCTTGCTAGAAGAGCCGGTCACTTACTTGATGTCTTCCCACACTTCGGGGCCGTAATTGCGGATCACCAGCAGCTCCAAGGCATGATTCACAAATCCGTACTGTAGGAGCAGAGAGAGAGCCAAGCGTCAGGGACTGGCTCTGGGTGGTTAGGGGCTTCGGGGCCAGCTTGCTGATGTGATCACATCCTAATCCTCTAACCTGTCCCCTTGCCCCCTTGCTCCGCTGTTAGGAGTACCCTATATTAAAGGGGGTGGATCATGATGGCAACCCCTCCCCCATCAGGAGCAGATTATGTCACCAGCCATCCCATCCCCATGCGGTCTTCTTACCCCTGCTCACCTGTCACCGCTCGGCGACGAGCTGAGCACCGGGGACAACGCGGGGACGTGCACCGCGAGCCTGCCTCGCTCGGGCGCTCAAGTCTACCACCCCTGCGGGGCCTGCCTGCGCCGAAAATACATCAATCCCTGCCGCACCTCTCCTTCCCGAGCTTGGGAAGCTGGGGTGCCGCGGAAGGGACCCTCTAGAAAGCAGAGGCACGGGTCGATCCCGGTCCTATCCGCGACCTCCCCCTCCCGCACGCAGGTAAACCGCGCGGCTGCTCCGCCGGCGGGCAGTGCGCTCCCCCGCCCCGGCGTCAAGCTGGAGCAGCGTGGTAGGGTCCCTGGGACAATCAAGGTCGGCCCTGGCCAAGGCGTGAGGCTTGCCTGACCCGGCTGAAAGCACTCACCATGGTGTCTGCGCACGGAGACCCAGAGGCAGCCTCCACGCAGAGGCTCAGCGGAAGGGACCCTGGCAGTTATTTGCAGCCGCGTAAACGCAACCAGGCCGGGGCGGCAGCATAAAGCTGCAGCAGGCGCTTCAGCCCTCGCCTGGCCTGATTGCCACCTATTCTCAGCCAATGGCGAGTCGAGCCGCAGGAGGCCGGTCACTGCTTCCCAATCCTCAACCAATCAGCGACAGAGGAGGGAATTAAGATGCTTTCGGGGCTGCTGCTGGGGAGTGCCTTCCCGCCCCCGTCTGGTGACAAGGCCTTCATATGAGGCCGTAACAATGATGATGTAGAAGAGCCTGCGGTGCTCTTTGCGTGAATTCGGCTACTGGTGATGGCGGGGGTGGGGGGAGATCGGAAGGAACAAGGGGATATTGTGAGCCCACTAAATATAGTGTAATCAAGAGGCCTGCCCTCCGGCAGTGAAGTGTGTGTGTGTGTGTGTGTGTGTGTGTGTGTGTGACCAACGAGCCTTAAAAGGAATATGCCTTGTGGTGGCCTGCATCCTATGTTTATCACAGTCTTGCAGCTACACATTTCCTCTGTGGCTTGGTCTCACAACAGTTGATGGCAAATTGAAAGGTAATAGCACTGAACACATTTTATGGATAGTCAATGAGACTGAGTGAACCAAGTAAAAAGTGCGGCAACATACAGGTAGTTTGATAAGCGTAAGCCATCTCTGTCCTTTCCTAAACTAATATCCAGCCATGTTCTAGATTTCTGACTTCAGGCCTTCATTGCTGTTTCTCAGAGGTAACTGATGAACTAGAAAAGGCCCAGCACAAAAGGCATAATAAACTTTTGCTTAGTAGCTTTTCAATCTGTATCCTAACAGGAGGATGAGCTTAGTGTTTGGAGTCTCAGCACAGAAGAAGAGAGGAAAAAGGACCTCTGGATGGGAGCTGTCTCTGAATATGGTTAGAGAAAATGTCAAAACAGTAAAACTGTACTATCGTCAGCATCCAGAAACTATGTTGAAGGTAACTGACACGGAAATAATGATAGAGCAAACGAAACAACAAATAACCTGAAAATGTCCATCGATCATGTTAAGATTAAATAAATTGTCGTGTTTCATAAAATAGGATACCCTACTTCAAGCAACTATTAAAATATTAACCAATTATTTAATATTAAAGTTTTTTTGCAGTACTGGGGCTTGAACTCAGGGTCTTCACTTTGAGCCACTCCACCAGCCCTTTTTTGTGAAGGGTTTTTTCGAGATAGGGTCTCACAGAACTATTTGCCTAAGCTGACTTCAAACCAGGATCCTTCTGATCTCTGCTTCCGGAGTAACTAAGAAAATGCACATTATACAGCTATACACAATGATAAAGAAAGGTGTATTGTTGGGTAAACAAAAGTCTCATGAATAAAATCATCCTCATTTTTTTTTGTTGTTGGACTGGGGTTTGAACTCAGGGCTTCCTGCTTGCAAAACAGGCTCTACCACTTGAGCTACACTTCCAGTCCATTTTGCTCTGATTATTTTGGATACGGAGGTCTGGAATCTATTTTCCTGGGCTGGCCTCCAACTGCGATCCTCCCAATCTCAAACTCCCATGTTCATCTTCATTTTTAAATGGTGCTATTTGGGCAAAAAAAACACACATGCAGTCACACACCTTGTCTGCGGGAAGGAAGAGCACAGTAAAGTGTTGATACAGCTGTCTATTAGCTGTTGATATAGCTAATATCAGTAGATATACCTGAGAGTCCAAGACTCTCTATTATAGCCTCTGAATCTTTTGATTCTACTCTGATAAAAAGAACAAAAAGACTGTCCTTTTTTCTTTTTCTTTAATCTTTCTTTGAACAGCAATGTCCCCATACTGTCTCAGTCTGGAGTATGCCATGGTGTCCTCCAGGAGAGAAAATTACTCTTAGGGTATGAAAAGTGGGGGAAGTTCACTTGGAAGAAGATGTAAAGGGAGAGGAAGAATGTACCTTCCTGCTAAATTCTCTTCCTCTCTGTCTTTCTCTCCCTGAAATTCAAACTTCCACTCTTGTTGTCCTTTTGTCCAATAACGTTTTGTACTTACTGTCCTTTTGCATTTGTAACGAGTTTGTGCTGTTTTGTTTTCTAAGTGTCTTGTGTTCACTCTAGATCTAAAGGAAGCTCTGTTCACTAATCCCTTACTGACTTGCTTGGCCTACAAGATACCACAAGGATACGACTTTCAGGGTCAGGTGGGTTTCTGACAGCCATGGAGGAATCCGAAGGGGGTGCCATACTTCTGCAAATACCACATGCATTATCATCACTGTTGACCAAGTTGTATAAAAGTGATATAATGAAGTGACTTATGTCATATCTTGGAACAATACATTGCATTCTCCCCTGTGTGTCTCAAGCTAAAGAGAATTAAAGAAGAAAAGAAACAGCTTTGGAACTGTCTTAGCCATCCCTACAGTCAACACTAACTATTTGAACATCACTCTAGTGAATGAAAAACAAATAAATATATGGTAATATGAAATGTCAGCTAAAATGACTCACATGTTTAGTTAATCCAAATAAATTAATTGCTTAGTTAAATATTAAAAGAATTTGACCATTATTTCAAGGCTTTTCCAGTCAATGTGATAACTAATCTTACACTGGGGTAAAGGAGGGCACATTTTGGGGGTGTTCTCATGTCTGTGCATGTATTTTTCAAGGCTTTGGTGTTTTGCCCACTATTTTCTGTCATGGAACCAGTGTTTCTATCATGGATTACTTTGTGGAGCAGTGTGTTCTTTGGTTGCAGCAGTTCTTTATACAGTGATTTCCTTCAATTTGTCTGTTTCTTTAATTCACATGGCTCAGAGCCTGATGGCTGTTCCTTCTTTAAGCTTCTGTTGGTAACATTGCATAGGCACACAGAAGTCATTCCTTTTGTAATTTCTGCTATCATTCACTTAATATAGCAAGGAATTTAAATGCTGATAAACAAATATATGGTTCTAGATCAATGTGAAAAAAATTCAATAATTTAGATTTATAAAAAGGTGACATTGAGATTTTTTTTTAATTTGCAAGGTTAGTCACATGAAAAAGGTACTGTTGAATATTAAATACAAAAACAGCATCTCATCTGTCATCTTTTTTTTTTCTTTTGGTTTTGTTTGTTTGGGGTTGGGTTTTTTTTGGGTTTTTTTGGTTCTATTGGGGATCAAATTCAGGATCTTGAGTATGCTAAGCAAGTACCCTGCCACTGAGTCACACCTGTAACCCCTTAAAAAAGCACCTTTAAAAGTCACTTTATACCAAATTCTTTAAATATTTATCTTACTGCCAAATTATAAACAACAAAAGATAGTCAAATATATATATTTCCATTTACCTGTAGAATTAAAGCATATATTTACATATATGTAAATAGAAATTACAAGTGAATTAAGGATGATACATAGTATTGAGGTTATAGTAATGAAAAGCATTAAGTAAAACCAACTCAACCCGTATATCTACATTGGGGTCTATGGAATGCAGTAAAATATGTCTAAGAAAAGCTTGTGAAACTAGATTGAGCTCTGATAATCTGCTTCTAAAGTCAAACTAAATTAATATAAAAACTGTGATTAATCCAAACATTTATGGAGCTTGAAAAAATTATCTGATTTTTATAAGGCTAGATAGACCATGATATCTCAAAGATTCATCTGTTTTGAGCAACAAAAGGTATTTTAGCTATCATTTAGTTAAATTTTTTTCCTGCTGTATTGGGGATTGAACCCAGGGCCTTATACATGCTAAGTAAGCATTCTACCCCAGCCCATGAGGCCTATTAATGTGCCTTACCTCTTCAGCATTAATAAAAAAATAAAATATTATCTAAGGAGAAATAGTAAACTAATGAATTATTTTCAGAATCCGTGGAGTATTTTTTTAAGATTTCCATTAAGTTAGAGAAAAATGAACTTTTCTAAAGTCTCACTCACTGGTAGTCAGAATCTGGCACTATTATGTATCTGTTTCAAAAGCAGATACTCTTAAAAGTATGCAGATATTGTACTAAAATAATGCTCTTCTGTAGCTTATGTTCAATTACATACTGAATATTATGGGTACAAAAGGAAACAGCAGAGCATGAGAGCCACTAATCCAAGTGCCTGGTTACTTCTCTTTTCATCTCCTGCTGTCTGAAGGAAAACGTCTGGGCATAGTATGGCACAATTGTTAATCACATCATGCTTTGACTCAAAGTGCTTGGGTTTTAACATTTCATAGACAGGTGATGTTGGGCAAGTTACTTAACTTCTTCAAATTACACTATTTTTAACTCGCAAAATAAAGTGAAATAAATACCATTTGCAAAAATAATAGGTCAGTATTATTTTCTGATAATATTCCAAAATTCTCCAGCATTTAGAAGATTAAAAATAGTACCTACCTCTCATGTTGGTGTGTGCAGTAAATGTCTTAATGCAAGTATGTTGCTCAAAGCAGTGAATGGCACTTGTTAGGTCAATAGAAATTGTTATCTGATAGTATTTTTGAGGTTGCCATTACCACTGTTTTGGAAATCAACAATTAATGTGACTAAATTCTTTTTCCACCTTATTGAAGTGAATGTGTCCACTGGTAGCAATGCATTGGAAAAGAACTGAAACACAGCTACTAAAAGATGCAGATCAGTCTTGTTATTTTTTTGTTCAGTCATCTTGATTGAGCTGGAAATCCCATTGTAATGTAGTAACCACCTAACCAACCTTCTTCAGTTAAGGTATTGTAAGGATCAAATGAAAGCTTTCCACAGGACCACACGACCTGTTACTGATTGCATGGAATTAGTAATTTAATAACTGAATAAGCAAGTACTCATCTACTAAAAGGCAAACATTCTTTGCTTGGCCAAACTATTGAAAGGTTACTCAAACTTCTGCTAAGTCATCTGTGGGCTTCCTTGTAAAATCTAGTTTTGCTAAGAAGTATAAAATCCCTGTGTTCTCCTGGAGATCTGACCAGCTTTCTCATCCTTCACCATCCCAAGGTAATCTCTGATCATCTAGCCAGACTTCAGTAAGA